CCGATAATGTAGTTCCTAGCATTTGATATCTGCCTTGCCGTCTGCCACCGCCTCGACCTCTGCGACCCTCCCACTGATTTTCGTTCTCCCTCAGCCCTATCTCCTCTTATTCCTCCCCCACTCATTCGCTCCCTACCTCCTCTTTCTCCCCCTCCCTTCCCCACTCCCCAGCCCCTCTTTCTCTCCCTCACTCACTCACTCCCTACCTCCTCTTTCTCCCCCTCGCTCCCTCACTCCCCATCCCCTCTTTCGCCTCATCCCTCCCTCACTCCCTAGCCCCTCTTTCTCTCCTTCACTCACTCACTCCCTACTCTTTTTCTCACTCACTCACTCCCTACCTCCTCTATCTCCCCCTCCATCCCTCACTCCCCATCTCCTCTTTCGCCGCCTCCCTCCCTTATCGTCCCCACCCTCCCTACCTCCCTCCTTCTGTCTCCCTCCCACTCCCCCTTTCATTAAGCCCTTCCTCCATCCCTGACTTTTATTTCCCCCTTCCATCCTCCCCTCCGTATGTCTACATCGCCGCTAATCTCAGGTCTATGATATCCCACACACCGCTAAACCCGACATGGAATTCCACTACGGTCATGGCTAGAAAGTTATAAGATTTTGTCAGCCTCTTTCTTGTTCTCTTTTTAATCTTTTATTACCTTTTTATTCACCTTTTCGNATATTATATATGTGTGTGTGTGTATGTATTGTATATATATATATATATATATATATATATGTATATATATATATATATATATATATATATATATATATATATAGAGGGAGAGAGAGAGAGAGAGAGAGGAGAGAGAGGAGAGAGAGAGGGAGGAGAGAGAGAGAGAGAGAGGAGAGAGACAGACAGACAGACAGACAGACAGACAGAGCGACAGAAAGAGACAGAGACAGAGACAGAGAAACAGAGAGACAGACAGACAGACTAAAAGACAACCTGAGAGAGAAAGGGACAGTGACAGTGACAAAGACAGACAAACAGGCAGTTATAGACAGACAGAGAGACAGGGACAGAGACAGAGACAAAGAGGAGGACAAACTTACAGAACGAGAGAATCACTGAATTAATCCCGAGAACGACCGAGCGACGTGTCAAGAACTTATAAAAAATAAAAAAAAAAAAGTCCGCAGTAATATCGGGATCCGATAAAGCCTTCAACTCTACAAGATCACAGTTTTATAGGTTCGAATGCCTTAAAAAACGCTGACGGGGTTTCACTTCGGACCCTATCCCTCTCGGCTTATGCCTTCGAAAAAATAATTCTTTTGTTTTCATTATCCTCACAGACACCATATCTCTGGTGCTTTTGGCTCTGTGCCTGCGTGACTGCGCGTCTCTCTGTCTCTCTCTGTCTTATCATATTTCTTATATTGTGTGTCTGTCTCTTTCTATCTACCAGTCTATCTATCTTTCCGCATTTATCTATCTATCTCAAAGTTGATATTCGTTGAATTGCGTCTCTGTCTCTCTCTGTCTCATATTTCTTATAATGTGTGTCTTGTTCTCTTTCTATCTACCAGTCTATCTATCTCTCGCCATTTATCTATCTATCTCAATTAAAGTTGATATTCGTTGTATAATTGCGTCTCTCTGTCTCTCTCTCTCTGTCATATTTTCTTATAATTGTGCGTTTTTTTCTATCTATCTATCTGTTTATCTATCTCTCGCTATATATATATCTATTCCAATTAACACTCGCAAATAACACTAGAGAAAATCAGAGTCAGAAAAGGAGATTTAAGAAAGACAGAAAGATAGACAGACAGATAGACAAAGAAAGCAAGAGAGAGAAGAAGCGAGAGAGACAGAGACAGAGAAAGAGAAAAAGAGACAGAGACAGAGATAGTTAGATAGATGGATAGATAGAGATGAGAGAGAGAGCGAGAGAAGACAGAGACAGAGAGAGAGAGAGACAGACAGACAGACGAGAGAGAGGAGAGAGAGAGAGAGATACAGACAGACGACAGAGACAGACAGAGACAGACAGACAGACAGAGAGAGAAAGAGAAGACACAGAGAGAGAAAGAGAAAGACACAGTGAAAGAAAGAGAATGAAAGAGAAAGAAAGATAATGTGTGGTGTATATATTCCACGAGTTAGCGTCTCATCTTGGCCAGTCTGGGATATATTGGCTGGAGTTTCTATCCAATCAAACTTTGCGCAACTGCAGCCAAAAGCCATCCCTTAGAAATCGGACGCTGTCTTCTGTTATTGCTCTCTCTCTCTTTACCTCTCTCCCTTTCTCTCGTCTCTCTCACTCTCTCTGTTGTTGTCTCTCTCTACTCTCTCTCTCTCTCTCTCTCTCTCTCTCTCTCCCTCTCTCTCTTCTCTCTCTCTCTCTCTCTCTCTCTCTCTCTTTCTCTTCTCTCTCTCTCTTTCTCTCTCTCTCTCTCTCTCTCTCCTCTGTTCTTCTCTTCTCTCTCTTTGTTTGTATTTCTCTCGCTCTCTCTGTTTGTATTTCTCTCTCTTCTCTATTGTATTCTCTCTCTCTCT